GAAAATGGTGTCATTAGATAAGGTGAATATACATCGAAACCAAAATAGAGACATTTGACTAGAAAAGCAGGTTAATACTGTGCACAGTCAGATGCCATTTATCATATATATGATGATATAAAGATTATATGAAAGAATATATAGTTTGATATTGAGAGTGCTCATCTCTGATGGTAGGCATAGGATGTTTTTATGTTCTTAYTTTGACTCGTTTATATTTTCTAATTGTATGAAATATATAAGTATTGCTTCAGGAATGATCAGATTATTACAAATAAAATGTTGAGAGCTTGAATGTTTCTATGAGAAATAGACCTTAATGATACTGTTAGACTACAGATAGTCAAATGAACAAAGTAGAAATCATTTTTATTACCACACTCATGCCATTTCTTTCTTTCTTTCTTTCTTTCTTTCTTTCTTTCTTTCTTTTTTTTTTTTTTTGGTACCAGGGATTAAACCCAGGGGCTCTTAATAACTAAGCCACATCTCCAGCCCTTCTTATTTTTTATTATGAGACAGGGTCTTGCTAAGTTGTTTAGGGCCTTGCTAAGTTGCTGAGGCTGGCTTTGAAGTTGCGATCCTCCTGCATCAGCCTCCCAAGTTGCTGGGATTATAGGCATGCACCACCATGCCCAGCCTCATGCCACTCCTTTTTTAAAAAATATTTTTTAGTTGTAGATGGACACTGAGCCACAATCCAAGCCCCCATGCCACTTCTTATCAAAAGCAAATGTCAGAAATTGCTCCTTCTGATATTTAGTATTGTAAGAGGGGATTGCGCAGTATGCTATTACATCGAGAAATGCTTATCTTTGAATTAATTTTGAAGGTTTTCCCTTATGAATCTGGTTTGAGACATAGTGCAGCCTATGTCTTAGTGTTTGGGCAAACTTTATGAGGTCAATAAGCATTCCTAGGTTTCTTCAGTCTGTGTTTCTGTGAACCCTAGAGGAACCCCAACCAAACAAGAGAAGAGTCTGGTGCAAAGTCCCCCGTGAGCCATACATGTAAAGGAAAGAATAAACGTGAGCTCAGTGATCATCATTTAGATAGATTCATTTCTGGTTGAATATCTGGTTTGTGAACAAATGCTGAGCAACCCAGAAAGTGGTCTCTAGGGACATAGACTATAATCTGTCCTTGGCCTCATCCTTCAACATTTTTTGCATTATTACTGAATAACAATATAGGTATGCTTATCAAATTTGTAAATGATACTGACATGTTCCACAAGAAAAATCTAAAGAAGATCTCCTTCCATTGGAAAACTTTTTTAAAAAGTATTTTTTTTWAAAAAACAGACTACTACTAATAGTAATAACTAAAATTCACATTAACTTGCTGCATACCATGCTTTCAAACATTTTGCTGGTTTTAATTTGTTTGCTTCTCATAATAACTTTATGCAGCAGGTCATGCATCATTCATATCAATCATTATTGGTGATAATATAGGGCAGAGAAATAGATTATGAAAACTCAAATCAATCTGCCTAAGTTAAAACCTATCACTGTAACTATGTTCTGTGTGAACCTGAGAAAATTACTAATTCTTTCTGTGCTTCCCTGACCACATCTATAAAGGAGTAGGATGATCGTTCATTCATTCAATAAACATATATCAAAAGCCCACCCTATGGATACGACTTCTAATACCACTTAGTGTCTAGTCTTCAGGAATTCATCATTTCCCAAGAAAGAGGTACGGATTCAGTTAAACAGAAGCCATTATTCTTCAAAGGCTATAGAGAGCTAATCCTTCATTCTTGTGCATAGAAATATGAGCTATTGGCCTCAGAGTACTATTCTTTATCATACTGAGAACCATACTTCTATTCCTAGATTGTTAAGTTTTAAAATATAAGAGTATGTTCAAATTTCTCAGGCATAATATAAGTATATATTGCAATGGTTACTTGTACCTTTTTCTATGCTGAATTATGATGACACACTTTACTAAAATATTGCAACTTGAATCTATTACCTATTAATCATAGCATAGAATCCTCTTCATATTGTATTGGATTCCAGTTGAATATAGTATATTAAGGGATCTTAAAATTTATGTTTATAAGTAAAACTTGCCTTCCAAGTGTTTTATTAATAAAAGTTTATTCTTTAATCCAAGAGCTTGTTCTTTGCCCATTATGATTAACTGAGCAATGATTAATTGATTCTACCACAACTGATCAAGAGAAAGAGAAAAATACCACAAACACAAGTTGTAAATGAAGTAGGTTATAAAGAAGCAGAAATTGCAAAACAAATCATGACACTTAAAGTTTTAAATTTTTAAAAATTAAATCATACTAATGTATTTAAAAATTACTAAATATTTCTACTCAAAACATTGACTCAAGTGCTTTTAAAATCATTGAAAGAGATTTTGTTATACTTTCTGTTTTTAAAGCACTATTTGAACATTTTCTCTCTAATGGGATACATGAAACATGCTAATTTACAGATTAACTAGTCATAAGTATTAAAAGAAATGTTTGCCAATTTTGGCTCTCAAAAAAAAAATCTTAGTTTGGGTTTGAAGTGTTAGTGAGTGAATGACAGAATTTATGTGCAACTTTAGGTATAACCAGATGTGTTAATTTGACTTCTAAGTTATCTTCTGAAAGATTTTCCTTTTTTTAAGAGTCCACATTCCACACAAAGCAGCCAATTTTTGACTACAGAATTATATTCATAGCTCTTTCCAAGCTCTTTTCTTAGCCTCAGGTTTTATGAAGTGTTAAAGTTAAGAGTAATTGTTTTAAAAGATGTTACTTCTATATAAAAAGGCATTCCAAGTGGGTTTTTTAAAACCCAAATAAATTCTGCTGCAATTTTATTCTCATATCTGTGTTATTAAGGCAAAATCATAAATTTGAGTGGAATTCTCCTAAGTTCAAAACAAGGGCAAGTTTTACTGAGCTATTCCTAGTGCATTCTTCTAGAGCAAACTGTGCTCAGTTTTTCTGAAAACTGTCATTTTCCCACTGCCAAGTTTCTTGCAGTCCTGTGAAACCTGCACTTAACAAGAGATTTACTCATTGACTTCTAGTTACTCACTCTTGCCAGAACTTTCCCATGAAGAAATAAAACTCGTTGGAGTTTTTGTGGGGTGGGAGTGAACTGCCCTTCTTTCAAAGTGATTCACTAAGTTAAGAAAGACATCTTACAGGGAAGTAAAATAAATGAAGAGTGATGTTCTCTGAGAAGGAATAATTGCTACTGTCCCCAGAGTATTAACAGCGTAGGTCAGTTTTCTCTAGAAAGTTTTTCAAAAGGGCTCATCAACTGTGAGTGAAGTCAGTAATACAATTTAATGCTGCCAACTTCACCCCTTGAAGCTAAGCAGTAATGACACCCAACGATCATTGTGTAGAAACAGTCAACTATGTTAACTTAATGATAGGCCAATGGACCCCCTAAGGAACATGATTATATTATGCCAGCTCTTGAATAGATGTTAGATCCGATACAACTGTGTTATTATTATTTTCCTCCTCAAAGACCTTTTGAAAACTATTCAAAGCAAAAGATGACAGAAGCCATATGCTGCCCCAGATCGTAAAGGCAGCTGCTAAAATAAACCAGTTTTATGCCCCCAAAGACTACTTTCATTTTTCTCAAATGGAAAATAGTGTCTACTGGTTTTGAAAGGCCTTATCAAAACAGAATATTCAAGTCTGAAGCACATCAACAGGCAGATACGGGTGAAAGAATTATTGTCTTATATGTTGGTATCTATAAGGCAAAAAAAAAAAAAAAAAGCCTAGACTACTGGTATCCTCACATCCATGATTTTGTCTTCTAAATTGCCTAGGTCTCTATGCAAGCAATGTGCTTTCAGAAGAATATGCTTATGATAATGCACTAGATGAAAAAAGAGAAATAAAAAATTTGTAACTCTCCTTCAGTAACATATGGTGGCAAATGTTGTCAGGTAGATAAGGTTCCAAAGGTGCATAGCTGAGCTAAAAGGCTGATTTGTTAGAAGAGCACTGCTGAGAATGGCTGTTTCTTCCTTTATCTGAAGCTTGATTAAAGTATTTAAAGATCTTTTAAAAATTAAGGGTCAAAGCCAGAGGTCACAAACTGAGAGCTCTCAGGCCAAATCTGACCCATAACTGCTTTTACCAAATGTTACTAACATTTGATGCTTAAACACCTAATGCATGAATTCTGGTGAAAACTGGAAGATGTGGAAAACTTGGGTCCAGATTTCCAGGTGAGCAAAATCACCTTGAGCCATCAGGAGGCACCTGGCCTTCTTAAAAGGAGTACTTGCTAACCAGCTGCTATAGGCCTCACCCCACACCCACTTATATTACCTACCTATGGGCACCCGCAAGTGTGAATTCTGGTAAAGGCAATTAGATTGAGAGTTATCATGACTGCATCTGTATTAATGAAACTTCTTTTCTCCTTTCACATCTCTACCTTTCAAATATCCCTTGGGTGATCAAATTAGAGGACGTCTAAAGCCTCACTCAGAAGTTATATAATCTATGAATATTGATGGTATAATAAAAGTTTGGCAACCGATTCACTGAACAGAAACAGTCAGTCCTTTTAACAACAACAACACTGTGGGGACTGAATTCTCAAATTAGTCAACTCTATTAAGCAAATGACAAGATGTTTGAAAAATTAAATTTATAGTTAACCAAAGCAGAATAGTGAATAATGAAAAGCTGGCTATACCTTCAATTTACCTTCAGTCCTTTCCTGCTTCTTTTAGTCCTAAGCTAATGGAATGTTTATGTTGGCTAAGAAAGACACATGGCCCTAAAGTAGCCCACTCTGACTCCAAGAAGGATGATATATCAGCTTATCATTTCTAGTGTTCAAAATCATTGCTACACCACTAAAGCTAGCAGCTAGCACGAATTTAAACAAATGACCCAGCACACTTGAAGATGCATGCACATTTGACAGTGTTTTAACAGTGTGGTTTTATGTCCTCAGGATCCCACCCTTGTCTTTCAAAGGGACAATTCTTACCTTGTTAGTGGCCCCAGGTCGCCTGAGTCTTGGCTTCCAGCTTCACTGGGGGTGCTCACTGATTTCGAGGAGGGAGACATAGGGGTTGGGACTAAATAATGAAAATAACAGGTATCCCATGTTAAAAAATGCAACGGCTGCACTGGTGAAGAGCAGTGTCAGACAAATCAAAACAAATGGGCCCAAATTAAAGTGGTTGTATGGCCAGGAGAGATTGAGATGGGATAAGAAAAAGAAAAAAAGAAAAGAAAAGGAAAGAAAAGGAAGAAAGTCAAGTGAATTTTTCATTTTGGAAATTAAAATTTGAAATGAATTTAGACAGAATTGACTTGGGGATTCTGAGGCCATGTCCACCCTAACGAAGTAAAATGGAGAATCAAAACGGCTATCCAGATAATTCAAGTCAAATATCTCTCTTGTATGAATTATCCAGATAATTCCAATTCTTCACTTTATTTTGTTAGTATAGATGTGACCTATTAAAAAATAAAATGGGGTGTCTATAAAACTTTAAAAGATCATGAAATATGTGATCCTGAATGATTTTAAATGGCCAAGGAAAGTCAGAAAATCAGCCCTATGTCTGCCTGGGGAGGGAAATGTATTACTGGTGGCATATAAACTACTCTGCCACTAGAGACAAAGTGACAGAGAGGAAGGATAAATTTGAACCTGGTAATTTAAAAATCCTTCGAAAAACAAAGGAAAATTCCAGGCTGCTTTATTTTTACACTTAATTAATAGTTTCATCCTATTGTACCATTTACTGCATTTGGGACTTTTTTTCCTTTGTTTCTGGCAGCCCTAAGAGGCAGTGCTGTGGGCCCAGAAGTCAACGGCTGCTCTGAAGACAGGAGAAAAAAGTTCAAGGATCAAGGTTGGCACGAGCTGAAAAATCTGAGAGCAAGGATAATAAGAGAGAACTAAAGGAAATGAAAATGTATTTTTCTTCTCCATCCTTCAGATACATGCCAAATGTCCTTCAGAGAGAAGTGGTACCAAATAGCCAAGATGGCTCCAGGCCAGATGATTCAATGGGTTCTTAATATCACACAAGCCAAAGAAGCCATATGGGCAGAAAGAAACTTCAATACAGAAATGTAGATTTCCATTTGGTTTCAATCATGTGCAATTTCCTTTTATTTATTTAATAGGGTAAAGGACTTAACTATTTTGTCCAAATCCTATAGCACAATGGCAGATCTGTCAAGAAGCTGGGAATTTTCATGTGGTTCCACAATTAATTCACCAATTATCCTCCATGCTAAGTCAGAGGGTAAGCCAAAGAGACAGCAAAAAATGAAAATGGGGTTGAGCCTTGCCAGGGCCCCTTAGCAGGCTTGGAGGAACAGTTGAGAAGTTGGTTATGGTTTAAGGTTGGTTAACTGTTTTGTTCTTAAAATTTAATTATTTGCTTTATATAGGGCACAGGAAAACAGGATCTACCACTACTGTGTCTAACGGGTGTTGACATAGCAACAGCATTTCAAAGACTATTTTGAGGTACAAATATAACTGATTGCAAAGTGTCTGATTTATGTCACATATCATCTTAGTTCAAAGAAGTTTTCCAGCTTCTCAAAGATGCTACATCACTCAAATAATCCCTTGGTTACATCTTATAAGACATAAAGAAGCTAAAAAAAAAAAAATCTAATTTTATTAAGGATTATTATTTCATTTTCAGACACATGATTTTATCTACTACAAATTGAGATTGAGTACAAATGCTTTTTAGTAGTATTTCAGTTTTACATGTATGCATTAAATTATACCAAGAGATACTTAGGAATTTGTAGGATTACATAGACTTTTTATTTCTTTTTTTGGGGGGGTGGTGGTGCAGTTCTGGGGATTGAACTCAGGGACACTTGACCATTGAACCACATCTCCAGCCCTATTTTGTAATTTTTTTAGAGACAGGGTCTCACTGAGTTGCTTAGCACCTCACTTTTTGCTGGGGCTGGCTTTGAACTCCAAATCCTCCTGCCTCAGCTTCCCAAGCTGCTGGGACTACAGGCATGCACCACCACACCTGGCCATAGTCTTTTCTTATTCATATTGTTAGGAGCATTTGTTGCACATGGATTATTTCTATTCTTATTTTATGTTACTATGGAAACAAATGAAATTTTATTTTAATATAAAAGTCAGTGATAGAATTAGAAGACAATTAAATATTTTAAACAGATCTGATATTGTATCTATTTCCAAGTATTATTTTAAAAGGTTTTTTTCCTATATTGGGTATCATGTAGTTTTACAGACACCCTAGTGTAACTCTTAATTATATGAAAAATAAAAGAATTAATGAAAAATAAAATAACTTATTACATGAAGGGTATATAGGTAAATGACAGAATAAGCACATGCACAGTTATCTTTAGCACAAAGAAAACAAATAGTTCAATATGCAGACCTTAGTGATAGGGAGTTCATGGACAAGCAACTAGGAATGAATGAGTTGGAGGAGGGTACTGAGGTGAGAATGCCAATTAGAAATGAAATCAAGGTATTTGAGAGAGTCAGATAAATTTAAACTTGTTCATTAGCTGCTGATCTGCCACCATTATAAATTCTCTTCAAATTTCCCACTGATCTATTTTCATCATAAAATAACTCTATGCCTGCCGTGGTTGTGGATTTTAAGGAGGATTCACAGCATTTAGAGAGGCAAAGAGAAGTTGGGATTCATCAGTGAAAACGAAGAACAATTTAATAAAAAATAAATTCCAAGATTTCTCATATTTCCCAAGTGGCAACTCATTTAACAAGTAACAAAATAATCCAATAATAACACAATGGCAAAGTTCGACTGTGTGATTCATCAATAAGCAGCAAATTGCTGATGACTCTACAACCTTTCCTCCCATCTCCTTCCAGYCCCCTCAATTCCAAAAATGCATGCACCCTGAACCATAAACCATAGAATTACTTAAAAATAAAAATACTAAAGCTAAAGACATAAACGAATAGTAAATGTTGGACATGGTATATCCTACTCAAGTTGAATTTGAGAAATAGTAGCACAAAGCTCTGTTAAGTACCTAGAGGGGGCTCCGGCGAAATACCAATGCTTTGGAGCAAAGCCTCCGTCTCCCGTCGTTTTCGATCCAGATCAGAGTCATCTTGAACAGGTTCTTTCTTCTGCTGCAGATCTGCCTAAAAAGCATGGATGTCGGTAAGGAAAGTTAAAAACATCACTAAATGTGTACTTTTCCTGGCTGAAACAGAAAGTGGGAAATGCCAGGCAGAGAATCCAGGCAAAAGCCCTAATAGATTCCCTCAAATGTATAAAGGATGAAAAAAATACCTCAACTGCTCATTTAATAATTACTGACCCATTGTTCTCTCCTGATTGAAAGTTTTCTCCCATCTCTACCCCATGGCATCAAAGTTTCTCTTGCCCAGTTTTGAAAGAAACCATCAAAGCCAACTATTTCTGACTGGGGCTGTGAATTTTTCAAAAAGAATTCTGTATGTTGTTTAGACCTCCTTGTCCCTCCTGGGACATCAGTTCTTTATGAGTATATATTTATAAAATTCATGCCCCCTGTTTGGGATTGTGGAAACAGCAATTCTTGGAATTTGGATGAAAAATAAAGTTATTTATGAAAATCTATAGCTGCATACTACACTATTTGTACTGGTAGTGTAAGCTGATGGTGGTTTAAAATACAGTGGGCTAAACTCTCAAAAGGCAATACAGACTTAACAATACAACAGTGCTGTAAATCTTGTTACTTGATTCTGATATATTAGGTTTCCACTCGACATGTTAACTTAAAGAAGAAAATTATCATATAGAAAAATACAGTGCAAAAAAATCCTTTAGGAATTCCTTTCATGAATTCTGCCTGACACACACCACATGGGCATCCTTAAATCAGATTATATCCCCGGTTTGCGTTTTTACAAAATCATGACAACTTAAAATGCAATTTAATGAAGATCAACAGAGGTATTCTGGGAGAAATTTCAAAATTCCAGGTCTTTCCTCCTTTTTAAAACACAATTATTACTCCAGAGGAGGTATTTCCCTCTATCTCCAACATGAGAACATTGACGTGTAGATACCTTGCAAGAAAGTTTTGTGAGCTTACAGGAGTGAAGCTGTCTTCAAGCTTTTCAGAAACCAACTATCCAGTGATCAGACATCCCTTCTCCAGGGCATGCACCAGACATGCAAAGCCTAATTCGTATCTTGGCATCTGAAGTAGAAAGAGTTCATGAAAKCTTTGACTTATCCCCAGATGGTAACCTATTCCCTGATTATAAGCTAAGTGCATCTTTGGCTCTGGAACCAATGCTTCTGTTATTATTCACTTTGGGCTTAAAATGCACACATAGTTTTTAAGGCTATCTGTCATTAGAGAGAAAACTGTTGTTATGTAGGCCAATAACTGCTAAAGAGACTACTAGAGAATTTTAGCCTCTCACAGAAGCTCAGATTTTGAAATGGCACATTACCAGTAAAGATATTAAAGTTCATCTTCTTTTCCAATTGAAACATTTAAACTACTAAAGCAGCTCTAATGTTTGTACACAACAGAGGTGGAGACAAAGCTGAGATGAGAGGATGCTGCAGAGGAAGGATCTCTATCCACATTTGTCAGAAAGTCAAAAGGTGGGAGGAAGAAAGAGGGAAATAAAAGAAAAGGGAATTACCAGAGCAGCTACTGAAAGACAAATAAAATAAAAGTGAAATTTGTCTTCAAAATCCAATGTAGAATAGTGCGTTGTTATAACAAAGCGTTTAACCATAACTAAACTGTCAGCTTTACTGAGAGCAGGCACTTGATTGCTTTGTTCACTACAATATGCTCACATCTGGATCAGGGCCTAGYACATAGTAAATACTCAATAAAGATGTGCTGAATGAAGGCATCAGTTATCTGCCTTTGGTGAGTATTGTTTTAACAATTATAGAATCTTAGATCTATACATCATTTAGGCTGATTCCCATCAACTATATATCCCACCCAGGAATCTCTTTTACAATACCAGCATTAGACCAAAACACCTAGACATCTAAAGACCCAGCACTCACAACAAACCCACTTCCAGGTGCTAGCATCAAAGATATATTTAATTTTCCCTCATTCTTTCAACAAAAATGTATTAAAGGACAAGAGTATCAGTAAACTGAGAAGTCCCAATAGAGTAAATAGAAAAAGATCTGCCTAATCTTTTGCTTTTGAACAAACTTAGGACATTTCATTCAAAACTTTCTGTCCTAGATATCCTGTGCAGAAAGGCACAAGATCTATTTTTGGTTTGGGGGATTTATTCTAATTTTAACCAGCAAGCTTTCAAGAAGCATAGTAAAGAGAAAATCACATGTCAACACATATAACCTCATGTTGTGCAAAAACAATATCCCTGAGCTTCATCACCAAATTTTCACTTCAGCACAAGGAGCCTCTGAAACTCGCTCTCCATTTAACTCCTTTTTAATTCTTTAACTTAACTTAAAGAAGAAAATTATCATATAGAAAAATACACCATACAATGACATTTATTAAAAAGAATAAACATCCATCCAGATATAATAGAAGAAGGGGAAGTTATCAACACTCAACGCTGACCATGAAAAATGCAAATAGTTAACTGGGGCTTATTGTAAATGCAGATTGTTACCCGTTAGCAACTTAAAATAAAATGTTACTTCATTTAAGACAATAATAGGGAATACCCTAATCATGAAATTTTTTATTTTTTGCATGTAAATACTACAGAATCCTACTGTTTTAATGACTCAACAAGGAGTGATTCTGTAGCACTAGTAATTAAAAATCTGCAAGGTGACGTTCCCAGCAAGTGAAATTTTTGTTTGTGTGGAGTAATCACAGCTGAGACCCAGAAAGAAAAATCAAAGACAGAAAATTTGCCAACTGAGAATTATCTATCAGTCACTTTTCAAAGACAGTTCCACATTTATTAGAGGGACAAGTGAGGACAGGTTAGGAAACTCAGGTACATCCTACCTTCTAGCAATTCGGCTTAAGGCCAAGGACAGAGTAAAACTACAGGGTGGCCACCATTAAACTCACCTCACTGCATGAAAGCCAATTTTCCATGACATTGGGCCTGTGTCTTAAATGGTGGCCACTATATTTATTTTAAAATCAGATTTCATCCATAATACCACAGCCAAGAAAGCATGACATCCAAAGGAGCAGAGGGTGGCAATTTTATATATGTACACAGTTTTCTGGGTTCTGTGGAGATAATCAACTTGGGTGGTCCTGACTTTAGTTTTCAAAGTCATGGCAAAAAAGTCATTCAGTTTAGCATTAAAGAGCAACTTATTTCTTTTTAATTCTAAATTTATTTGTTTTACTTGATAAGCCTAGAGAATATTTTTTATAAACAAAGTTATAAGAGTATGGCTCATTTTCTACAAACAACCCCAAAATTGGCAAATTTTAAACTTAGGAGCCAATGACAGTGGCCAGTTGATGCAGCATTGTAAAAACTCAGGATTAGAAGCTTCCAAAGAAATATGAATCTGCAGAATAAAATTTCAGATACTTGGAAAGAGTGTCTGGGACCAGYCTCTCCAGACATGCTCAAACTAGTTTATGTTTATTATTCACTCATTATTCATTATATTTTATTGAAGGTCTACTATCTGGCAAAACCTGTGCTACTCAGTGCTAAAAACAACAACTATAAACAAAACAAAACCAACATACAGACATGAGCTCCCAAACTTGCCATCTCTGGGGAGAGAAAGAAAATTGAGGAAGCAAATGTAAAACTCTGTGCTAAATGGTTTGATAAGGAGGCTGGGGCTAGGGCTCAGCGGTAGAGCACTCACCTAGCATGTGCAAAGCACTGGGTTCGATTCTCAGCACCACATAAAAATAAATAAATACATAAAGGCATTGTGTCTGACTACAACTAAAAAAAAATTTTTAAATGGTTTGATAAGGTCAAGGATAGAGCAGATCTAACCTCATGATGGGTGGATAAAGGTATCAGCATGAGCTTTCTGGAGAAAGTGACATTTGAGATGAGAACAGAAAGACATGCAGTTAAGAGCCAGGTGAAGAACAATAGGGAGAAATAGAATATGAAAGGAAAGAGAATTTTAAAGGTTTGTTTTTAATTATAATTATTAACACATACTAATTATACAAATTAAGAGGATTCACTGTGATATTTCCATGCACACATGCATCATGTGTTGATTCTTTTTCATCCTCTCTACTTCTACTCTCTACCCCAGTCCCCAACCTCCTTCCCAGTCCCCTTTAGTTGAGAAAAGAGTTTTATAAACTCCACATCAATAGAGTGTTGTCCAGAACGCCATAAAAAATTGTCCCAAACTTTCTATGACAACTTGATGCCACAAGTGGAAAATTCCACACAATGAAACTTTGTTTTGTGCACAAAAGTATTTAAATTAATTTTTAAAATTACCTCTAAGTTATGTGTATAAGCTACATACAAAACATAAATGAATTCCATGTTTATTTAGACTTGCGTCTCACCCCCAACACATTTCACTGTGCATATGTAAATATTTCAAAATCTTAAAAACCCCCAATCCCAAGCATTTCAGATAAAAGACACTCAACCTGAAACTGAATCTGGCTAGAATGTGGATTTAGGGGAGAAAAGAAATGGGTGAGAAAAGAGTTTGGTTCCAGCTAGAACCTGGTGATCACTGAAAATTATGGAGGGGATGGAGAAAGAATTATCTAAGGTTTCTGCTTTGGATACCTGGCGGGATGAGGGGGTCCTTCGGGAACTAGAGGTAAAGAAGGGCTACTTCTAAGATGTAGATCTTATTTCCTTATTTGAAAAAAAAGGGGGGGGGCTTCAGAAAAGATTATTTCCTGGCTCCTTCTGTCTACAAAATACTGTAATCCTATGAAACTAGGGGTCTTGAATTATAGGATTATTTCAATAGTGGGCATTTTTGGAAAATGTCTCTTACCAGCAGTGGTGCTGAGCAGTGTGTGCATATCCATTCTGTGGGGTCCCAGTCACTGGTTGCTGGTCTTAGAAGCAGAATGTGATCTGTTGCTTACTGATTTGTTTCACTGCTCTGTGGTATCTTCTTGAATCTGCTCAGAACTCTGAGAAAAGTACCACTCTTTTCTCCATGTTATAGAGGAGGAAATAGGCTCATAGAAGACCTCACTAAAGGCCATTCTATGAAGAGCCAAGTTGAAATTTAAAAAAAACAAAAAAACACCCTCTGTGCATAACTACCAGGCATTACTGCCGTCTGTCTGATTATACTGGTCACATAGAACAAACCAAGTCAGCACAGTTTGTGAAAGATTCTTACGTTGAGGAGAGGAAAGATCTTTTTAAGGAGAGAAAGACTATAAAGAAAGAAAATTTAAAGCCAGGATAGCTCTCAAAGATGATGTAGTCAGTGTGTTGCAAAATCCAACCCTTACTTGGACTTTTTGAGACAGAAACTGAGAATGAGACCTGAGGACTCTGAATGGCCATGTGACTCTGTGGAGCAAGGTTGAGTTAACATGGCCTTAACCGCCCTTTCTTCTGCTTAGAAATGAGGCATCTAAGACCTTAAGTGACTCTAAGTCCAGAACCAGGTAGAGGCAAAGGAACATCTAGAATCCAGGTATTCTATACTCCCCACCACCTGCCACCCCAATCTCCCAGGACTCTTTTTGCAGTGTAAGAGGCTAAATCTCTATCAGGCAAAACTTCATGGTGTGGGAGCAAAAGGGGTACCCAGTTTCGATCAATCTGGTTTGCCTCTAATTTCCCCAAAATGTGCAAAAGGAACAAGATGAGGCAGACAGCATAATTTGGAACCAGATTTCCTGTATCACATCATCTTTTGTGGTAATTCTGTGAAATTCGAGTTGGATATTAGAATGTCAGTTTAAAAGGAAACCAGTTATTAGTAAAGTATAACAGGTGCTTTAAAACTACACTAAGTGTTGACGTTTGAAGGAAAGGAAACATAATCACTTAATGCCTTTTTTGGCTGCGCATAGACATGAATAGCCATTCCTTGTCAATTCTCACCTCTATTTCACCCAAAAACTGCATACATAACAGCAAAGATCTCCAAGGGAAAACCATTACACATGATGTCAAGGACAAATAAATGATCACATCAATCAAAGTGTAATGGTGTGGAGAGATGGGAGATGCCAGAGGGCTGAAATGCAATTGCAATTATGTTTTACTTTGTTGGAAAATAATAATTGTTAAAAAAAGAATCTGTTACTTTGGTCTCACAGCCTTGTAGTATAAAACAACACTTATTTAGATTGCAAGGCATTAAATACATTTTCTTTTTCCTTGAAGAAAAGTGTAGGGAAGCAGCTGTGGTTTCTGTATACACAAGTGTATCACACTACACGATGTTTTCTTCGTAGGAGACTATGCAAGATTATCTTTGGCATCTGGTTTGTGTAGGAAGCATGGGCTATTTCTAAACTGCCACAACAAATTGGGGAATTAAAAATAAATTATTTCTTGGATTGAAATAGTGACATGACAGCCAGGCACTGAACTGAGAGTTGAGAGACTCTAATTCTGGATCTAGCAGCAGAAAAGCTGCATTTTACCTCTGGGTACTTCCTGCTTTGTTGACATCAAAAGGGGACTCAATGGAAGGTCTCTAAAATTCCTTTCAGCTCTAACACTTAATATGCTATATCCTATACTACCCCATCCATTCTCTCACCTCCTTTCCCCTCAACCAAACCTAGGATTCTTATCTACCATGAAAATATATACCATATAGGCATCAATGGAAATTCATCAGAATCATTTTCTATTTTTCTTCTGAAATATCTAAAATAGTGTCTCTCTCTCTCTCTCTCTCTCTCTCTCTCTCTCTCTCTCTCTCTCTCTCTTTCTCTCTCTCTCTCCCAGTACTAGGGATTGAACCCAGAGGCACTTTACCACTGAGCCACATCCATTTTTTTTTTTTTTTTTTGAGGCTGAGTCTCACTAAGTTTTTTAGGGCCTTGCTAAACTGCTGAGGCTAGCCTCAACTTCGCAATCCTCCTACCTCATCCTCCCAAGTCACTAAGATTACAGGCATGTGCTACCATGCCCAGCTAAAATAGTTTTGCTGGTCATTTTTAAAAATAATCTTGTTGACACTTGTTAAGTACTAACTATACCTTGGGTACTGTTAAGATTAAYTCTCTTAATCCTCACAAGCCCACAAAATAAATATATTCTCATTTCTAAGGATAGGAAAATGAGGCATGGAAAGGTCAAGAAATGTCCGACAACAGATCCCAGACTACCTTTAGGGTTCTATTCAAGTTTGGGGAGAACCTTGGGTTTCAGATAGCAATGACCTTATCCTTCTGAGGACATAGATACCCACTCATTTTTTCCAGATATCCAAAAAGGATTCTTGGAAGGGGTCCTATTTATCCATTTGACCAGTCCTTCAGAACCAACTGATTTTCTTCTTACCACACAACACCCACACCCCAACCTCCAGTATTTACCTCTTTCTTTTTCCTCTCCTCTTCTTTCCGTTTCTTCTCTTCTCTTATCTGTGCTAAGCGCTGCTTTTTGCGCTCAAGCTCAGCTTTTAAGTCACTTTTGTCAGACATGTTGGTTTCCTTGGAGAAAAAGGGAAGAAAAGTGAACATATAACTTTTTATATTATCATTGGAAAAATCATTCAAAAGGAAATGCAGCTTGAAAATGTGATTGGGGTGTATTGATAGGTCATATTACTTAGCCTATGTTGAAGAATCAAAAACAAATTAAGTTAAATCTGGTCTGACTCTACATAAATCTTCCCCTATTATGCAGGCATAAATGTCTGAAGAAATATAACATTATAACAGATGGTCTGAAACGAATAGCAAATTACTTCCAAATAGGCAATGTGGGCGGGAGGGGAAGGGAAGGGGCAGGGGGTTAGAGATGATGGTGGAATGTAATGGACATTATTATCCAAAGTACATGTATGAAGACACGAATTGGTGTGAATATACTCTGTATACAACCAGAGATATGAAAATTGTGCTCTATATGTGTTATAAGAATTGTAATGGATTCCGCTGTCATATATAAATTAAAAAATTAATTTTAAAAAATAGGCAATGCATCTCCTGTACAAGTTTCTTACAAATAAACCAAAGGAAAGCATCAAAAAATAATAATCATCACGAATTGTAGTTCAGATGGTAACGGGGTAATCCATCTCCACTCTGAGAAAASAGGTGCCATGAATCCTGAGAGACCTGTCCTGCCCAAATTTCTATAGACTCTATAAACATTCCTCCACTGGACCTGAGTACATGGAAGTTTCATTTTGCCTAACATATGTATCAGGGAAGACAGCTGCTGAGGACTTAGCAAGTTAATCTTCTTTCTCTGTAAAATTCCTCTGAACTGTGACAATTAATTTCATGTCCAATAAACCCTGATTCTATAAAGCTTTGATTTGCATACAGAATACAATATTTACTATTTTAGCACTTACCTTTTTCTTCATGTGTTTTGGGAACACGTGAAAAGGAGGTAATACTGGGGCAAGTTGTTGGAAAAATTTATCCAAATGAGACTTAATTTTAATACTAATCGTGATGCAGCTGCTGGTGGCAATGGTACCAGAAATATTTTAAAATAAAATAAGTTTATCAATTATCAATAATTACTTGTTTCTTACATACTGAAGCAAACAAGATGAAAATCCTGAGAAATGAAGAACTTCCTCTGACCCAAATTTCTCAAAGAAGAAAAAAAACAAAAACAAAAACATCAACTAACTATAAATGTCATGAGTATTTACTTGTACGTTATTTGTATGCAACTATAAAAAATGTATAATATATTCCTAAATAGATGCCAGAGTGATGGAAGGCACACAAAAAAAGTACCAAAGAACAGAACAATAAGAGATGCTCAAAATTCCTGTCACTGTCCTTGGAAGATAATCATGAACCTGCAATCACTCTAAGGCATGCTGTCAGATAGACACACAGCCAGGAAGTGTACCGTGTTCCTGTTGGACACATTTCTGCTCACAGTGTGATGGCAAAGACTTGCAAAATAACAATGATCACAATAATCAATCTCTGCCATTCATGATCACACCCTGTTTTCAATTTTGAACAAACATTTGCTGAATATTTAATCCTTGCCGGCCACTCTATAAGGCACAGGGATACAATGACCAGCAATACTAGATTCTTCCCTTCAAGGAGTATTGAACTCAAATTCCCGGGCTTGTAGTGTGACTGGGGAGGTCTCTGAGACATTGGCTTATTGATTACAGCGTATCAGGCCCTTTGCATTCATTATCATATTTGTCACCACAATTCAAGCAGACTGGCACAATTAATGTCTTTTTCACAATCAAGATAAAGAACGCTCAGCAAGACCCATGACTACATGGCCAATATGTGGCAGAACCTACATTCCAGCTTGCACGTGCTCTGACCTACCACACACTTCTAATCTCCAAGGTGCAAGTTCAAAGGGAATGCAGAGCAAAATAATAATCAAGATCTGAGGAATTAGGCCCAGGTGAGCATTGAGGAGCCCACGGAATTTGAACGGGATGTTGTACAAGCTTGGGAACTAGCAAAGGAAGGGAAGATTTAGATATGCAGAGATCTATGGAAGGGGGAAACCAGCAGATTGAATATAAGAGTTACACATGAATCCATCAAGAAATATAAACTCTAGTTGTGAAAAATGAAGGMAAATGGCAAAGCCTTGCGGGGGAAGAAACAGAGAAATGAGTTGTATTTGATTTAACAGGTGATGGACAATCACAGAAGCTTTTTGAATGGGAAAGAAGTGACAAAATRAGAATGGAATTTGCTTAAGCCTATTCTTGTCCCTGCCTGCATTACAGATAGGAGCATCCACTAGAAATAATGCAAGTTGCTGGGAGGCTGATGCCAACACCTATTTCAGTCAACTGCACCTGCACTGGGATGGTAAGTGGTGGAGAGACAGCAAGTAGAGATGTGGACTGGAGATAGCACAGCCAAGGACCAAGTAATTCTTGGTAGTCTTTAGATGTGGAAGCAAAGGAGGAAGGATCAGTATCAATTTATCTTCAAGAGAGCAAAAAGGAAGGCAGTGAAAACGAGAAGAGAAGGAAAAAATAAAAGGGTACTATTAAAAAAAAAACACACTTGTAACATGTCCTAATTTGGGCATCAATGAGACTTTTAGACAAATGCATAGATACAWCATACAGATGAGACTGACAGTTGGATCAGGGACTGAAACTATGGAATAAAACTCACTGGAGTCATCCACCTACAAGATTGTTAAAACTTGAGTCATGGATTCAACCTAGAGAAGTCAGGTTGATAGTGCAAGGAAGCAGAATAGTGTCAGAGGCTAGCAGAGAGGAAGAGCTCTGTCTAAAGGAGACCACTCCACCCAGCTCCCACTGATGACCAACATGGAGGAACATGGATCCAAGCAGTTAGATCTTCCTATCTTTTTTTTTTTTTCCAAAAGAAGCTACAGATCTGAAAAAACTGAAGTTTATCAATAAAATACAGGTAGACAATAATTTTTGAGACCAGCAGGTAAAATTCCTGGCAGGAGCAAATTTGAACCTAATTACAAAAGCCATCTGAGAAGTTATACACATTCTTGCCCAATGGGTTCAAGCTAATTGATGTAGTTGAATTTTTTTTCTGTTGTCAAAAGTGAAATGTACCATTAGAAAATAAATCACTGTTAGAGCAAGACCTGTATCATTCTAAGCTGAAAATCCAGCCAGTGAAAACTTCAGAAAAGTTAACTTTCCCCCTCCTCCATGTTTCCTCAATGATTACATACCTTTCCCCAGTTAGAAATGCCTGGCACCACTTCACTATCTATTATGGACATAAGGAGAAAACCATTCTATAAAACATCCTGTATTTGTTGTGATTTTCTTGCAAAGAACTTTAATCACAAGAGGAAGTAAGATATATCCCTAGTTCATTTCTTCAAAGTACAAAGGCTTTCTTCAAACTGCTCAACATGCCAAATGATGTTGATCGTTTAAGTTGTATTCTCAGCCACAGAGTTGATACTTTAAAAATTAAAAAGAGAGAAAGAGAGATTAAGTAGAGATGTTTGAAAGTATATGAGTCCCTTTTAGAATGTCGTAGAGCTACAGTGTTAAAAGACAAAGCTATGGAGGACCTTCCATTTATTGATTTTTTAATCTATTCCACAGTAGACACTTATCATCGACTCACAGAATTTAAAAAAAAAAAATCTCAAGAGAATGCCTCCTAAAAGGTTTGGAAAGTACATGTTATAGTAAATTAATGAGCCTTTACACATAAGGAGATGGCTTCAATGGTGGCATTAAATGCAGTGTCAGCACTGAGCTCCACAGGCTTTCCCAGGGGACTTGCCAGTCTGACCCACTAAATCTCTCTGCACATCAAACAAAGCAAATGGAGAAGCAAAGCATGCGGGACATGAGTTATAGAGATTCCTGGGGCTAATATAGGTCATGGCAAAGGCAATTCTGATGTTCTCAGTCTAAGRAAATAAAAGTCAGAGCTACCCACTGCTAATTATTGCTCGCTTACTTCACATACACAAAAAGCTGGTCTCTTTCATTTACAGATGGCAAGGGGTCAAGTAGATAAATCAAGCCCACTTCTGAGTGTGGGGCTCCTCCCTGTCTAATCATCCACATGTTCTCCCACCCACCCGCCAACACACGGCTTGACTCTACCCAGGCTTAGGAACAGTCATGGCTCAGTGGCACCCAGAGCTACTTCCATTCTGGGATGACTTGACTCACTTTTATGTTTCCTGTCCAGCAYCCCTCACTGCAGAGTCCCATATGCGGAATTCCTTTCCATTGGCTTCTCCCCCGCCTCCATCTCTTTTGGCTTCATTACCAAATTCATACTTCTTATCTTTCTCTACCCCACATCATGGCTCTTGCAAAACATCCAGCTTTACTATGGCCAAACACAATTCCATCTCTCTCTTGTGTTCATCTGTTCACCAAATTACATCCACTCCAAAAGAGAGATCTCAAAGTTCAAATCTGCTACTCCATTTACTCTGGATTCCGTAAGTGAACCCCCATACACCCTAACTTGTCCAATTTTCAATTCTTTGCCTCTGATTTCCCTTTGGTCCCCTGGGTTGCCCTTTATCCCCAGCTCAGTGTTGTCACTCATCCTCCCAAAGTTCTCAGTTCAGATAACTTTGGCTTCAGCCCATCTGCAACCCCAGTGATCTGCCATTCCTTTGACCCCCAATAAATGAGTCTCCATGTAAAAAGGTTGGAATTGTACCTGGCAAATTTTAAACCACCTAAGGAAAGTTGGTTTTCCTCTTTTGCCTCCTTCAACTTCTCTTCTACTTCTTCCTCCTCTTCTTTTTCAATTAGTTTTGCTATTAACTTATCCTACAAACTCTTTACGCCCTTATTTTATAACGTCACCATCAGTCAAATTTCAATCTAATCACTCTGAAGGTGTTACTTCGAGAACTTCATTACGGGTGTGGAACGTTACTGATTCAACAGCAGCAGCACCTTCAGAGCCAGGAAAGCCAATCTGTGCCCCCAAAGACTCTCAGGCATTTCAGAGTGCACAGAAACACCTTTGCGATTCAATGGGTT